AATCGGGTGTTTGAGAAAATGGAATCTGCCTGCTTGGTCAGAATTCAGGGGAAGAAAGTTCTATTTGCAGCAAATCAAGCTTATAAAAACTGACCATGAATAATATATGCACTCTGGGAACCATTATCTGCCTGCTTGGAAAAACAAGCTTGCAGGGCAATTTAGGGTTTATGATGCATCTTACCAGAATCTGCTATGCTGTTAACTTTGGAATGGGTCACTTTAGCCAGGGCCCTGAAGCCTAATTTTATGGCGAGACACTCACGGCATTGTGGCATGCATGCAACAGCATGCACCTTTAAAGACTCGAAATGAAATAGAAACAGGGAGGGGGGGAGGCGGGTATCCCAAGCCAAATGAAATAGTGTCCCAACCAACAACTGACTACTGCATCTTTCCAACAGCGCAGCAATTCAGATAGGTTTTACTTCATTCACGCTGAAAGCAACCCTGTAAGTGAGACACGGCATCACTCTTTCCATTTCACAGATGGGGGGAATGAGGCTTTGCACTGAATCTATGGCCAAGTTAAGGCTTGGCTGAGATTAACTGACACTACAATGTCAGCCATAGGAAATGCCTGCACATATTAGCTCCCAGCCCCTGGATAGACAGCTAGGATCACGCACCATGATGCAGAGCTTTCAATTTTTAGACCAGCACTGCAAATGCCTGAGGAACACCGTATGTGGTGGTGTACCATGACTGAAGCCCTCTCCACAAATACAGGCAGTAGACAAGAAATGGGAGCCACCGCATATGGAATATTTGAAAAAGAAACCTCACCTTCTTTTCCGCTCTGTCTTTGCAATTGCTTGCTTGCAAATTTGCATAAGGCGATCAATTAAGGATGCTTCTAATACAGAAGGGATTGGAGGGAATTTAATGTCCTTAATAGGTTTCTACCTCAAAGAGCATTACAAGCGAGAATGCAGCAAATGTTCAAACTGGATTGGCAGGCTGCATTTGCGGGTACCTTTTGATGCGGGATTAAGTAAGGCTGAATCTAATCGCATACTGCTTTCTGTGCTAGTCAATTCCTTTCTGTTTTACTCACACGTTGTGGATTAGTTTTATTTTCTCTTCCTCGTTGCTATTTTTGCAACGTTGGGAACTTTTCCAAGCCTGCAAAACAGTCATAAGCAATGATTTTTTTCTGGGAGGACGCAGGGGTATTCATACCCCTAAACATTCTTTTTAGGGGGGGGAAGCACTGGTCATAGGCATCAACCCCAGCTAAGTGAAATAACTAGTCCCCAACTGTCTTATTTGTTCATGTTGGAAATGGTTCAGGCAAATTGAAGATGCGCATATATAAGACAACACTTTTTCAATTCCAGGTTAGACTCACATTTGAAATAGGGATGGAAAGTGTTGGCGCTTATGCACCTGAGCAAACCATCAGCTGTAAGAAAAATCTTCAAGATAATGATACAGCTCACTAGGTGGGGATTCAGAAGTTCAAAATTGCTACTGCTTCTCTGCCACAGCTCCCCCATTTAATAAAAAGCAGGTCACTTAAACCATTACATATTTTTATTCAATCAAATTTTATTACACAGCCCCTGTCAGACTGGATAACTCAATTGTTCATCAGTACCTTCAACATTACTGATGTATGGAAGTGAGAGCTGGACCATAAAGAAGGCTGATCGCTGAAGAATTGATGCTTTTGAATTATGGTGCTGGAGGAGACTCTTGAGAGTCCCATGGACTGCAAGAAGATCAAACCGATCCATTCTCAAGGAAATCAGCCCTGAGTGCTCACTGGAAGGACAGATCGTGAAGCTGAGGCTCCAATACTTTGGCCACCTCATGAGAAGAGAAGACTCCCTGGAAAAGACCCTGATGTGGAGGGCACAAGGAGAAGGAGACGACAGAGGACGAGATGCCTAGACAGTGTTCTTAAAGCTGTTAACATGAGTTTGACCAAACTGCGGGAGGCAGTGGAAGACAGGAGTGCCTGGCGTTCTCTGGTCCATGGGGTCACGAAGAGTCGGACACGACTAAACGACTAAACAACAACAACAACCTTCAACATCTTATCCATTCACTTAACCAGAAACCTCCTTGCAACAACCTGCAGTCAACCTGGGGCTCTGTTCACACATCATTTTGATACGTCATCAGGGATACATAAAATGATAAACAAGGAAAGACCACTTTCCTAGGTGTCATCTTTACCAACTGCAATGGTAGACTGCCAGTCTGCCTGCCCTTCTTAGATTAATCTAAGCATCCTCTCCCCCACCCCATGCTATGCTACTTATTCAGGGGTACGTTAAATCACCAATATTCAGCACTCTTCCCTGTTCCAGAGAGTAGCATCTCTATTTATGGGCTTAAGCGCTAAATGAGTTGGGTAGTAGGTTGAATGTTCACCCCCCACACACAAAAATCCCACCCTATATAACAGAGGCTATCCCATTTCTGTCAATTAGACATCACTTAGATGTCACTCTGTGGCAGCAGAAAAACACAGGTAGACGCAAACATTTCTCTAAGCTAAAAATGTGGGTTGCAGAATTGTGATGCTTATGTTGGTGCAGCGGGAATCTCATCTATACTCACAATTGGGCTAGTTGATGAACTGGAAAATAATAGATTTTCCCAAAAATAAATTGTGGTGATGTGGAAGGAGAGAAATCATTTTATAAAGTTTCAGTTGCATTAATTTGGCTCGCAGGGTTTCTTTTCCCTGATCCTCAATCCTGATTTTCCAAAAAAAACCTACTCTGAATGCTGGAAAAATAATAATAAAGGAGGTGGCATCGAAAAGGCAGGACAGAGGATGATTTCGGCTACTGTGCAGTTGTGTTAAGAGTCACATTCCATATATCTAAGTTTCTCAGATGAGGTACTAAGCTATTGTTCAGATCAAGCCAGCGGGAAATGTTTTTATTTGGGGGGGGGGGTTTAACCCCTCCAATACGGACAACACAGAAATCCGAACAGCTACTTGTGCCTCTGTTATTTTTCTCTGTGGAACTTGTACACACACACACAAAACTGGAAAGGAGAAGACGTCCAACTGGTCAGAAACAATAAAGCAAAGCCAGTAGGACATTGTGATCCTAATGAGTCACCTTCTCTACACTAAAACAGAGTCGCCGTCATCAACAACAACAAAAGAAGTCAAGCCATTTGGAACCATCTATTTAAAGAAAATGCGAATAAGAGAATGAGGAGAGAGCTTCATGAACAACAGTTGGGAGAAGGACAAATTTGTTGAGTTAAAGCCAGTTTACCCATAGGACTAATAAGGAATTTGCCCCTAATGGTAACCCTAAAGGCTGTGCCAAACTGACAGCTTGCCAGGCATTCCCAGAAGCTGCTAGCCTGTCCTTGACCATGCCGCTGACCGCCAGGTCAGTCAGCCATTTTGACAGCTCTAGGGAAGCAGTAAGCTGAGCTGCAGTTGCTAGGCAACCACAGGCCCCCTTCTCAACCAAAACCTGAATCCTAATAACAGGGGAGGGTTCATTCTGGGATCAAGGGGCATTGGAAGGGGGGGGACTTATTTGAACCCAGTTATGTTTATTCATTATATTCGTTTTTGTAAATCATGATTAAATAAAATAAAATCTGGCTGTTTCATTCTAGTTCATTTGAAAGCCGCCTTGAGACTTTTTCTTGTAAGACTGAAAAAGCAGTAAATAAATGAAAACACAGAGCAAGGTCTTATTCAAAATGCATACAAACAAACAAAAGGGTATCGCTGAGCTCCCTCTAATATTTATCACAATACACATCACAGAGCTTGTTTTGGATCAACCGCTGGGGATCAGTTTCACAACACCAAAATGCAAATATGACTTACTGGTTCAGGAAAGGGGATGGCATTGGCCAAACAGAAGCAGCAGCAAAACCATGAACACTGAACTATTGATTTTGTAACCCATGCTTAAAACTACTTAGCTACTTAAAACTACTTAAAACTACCTTTCCCTGAATCATTGCTAGGTTTTACAAACCTATGCGCCTGGAGGAGAGACAATTTGGCCAAAATTGAGGTGGAGTCAAAGGATAGGGCTCGTCTTTTTCATTAACAGACCCCTTACCTTCCTCCCCGCACTATGTGGGTTTACTGAACCAGTTGAGTTGTATTTTAAAGCACCTAAGACCTGTAAACCAAACAAAAATGACTCAATTTCAAATTAAAGTCTACAGCTGGCTCCCAGTCTTTTGGCTTCTAAAGTACATTTGCCTAAACACAGTCTCAATGTGAGTGGGACCCCCAACTAACTTGTTCCCTCACGGTTCCCCCTCATCCCTTCAGATCTGTACTTCTTAAAAGGCTGAGGAGCTCAGACAGACAAAAAGAGTCGCAAGTCTCACATACATATCACATGAACTGATATGCAAACACATTCACATATATACAAATGTGAACACTTACACGTGCGCAAGTCCCATTGATTTTAGCCAAACGAATGCACACACAAATCAGATTCAGACTTCCACCCCAAGAAAGCGGCAATAGATTTCTAACCAAAAAAAAAAAGCAAGTCTTTTTACTGGAAACCAATTGAACTCGCTAACTCGGTCCGTCTTATGAGAGAACAAAAGCCTTGTGGCCAAACAATCAAGGGCAACTCTGGAGTCAGGAATTCAATTTCAAACTTCTTCCCTGACCTTGGGGCCTAACGCTGTCTCCACCGTTCAATTTCTTTTCAAGGTTTAATTTATTAACACATGCAAAGGGTTATTAGGACACAGATGGGTGCAGAAAGAAAGCAGGAGAAACAGCATTGGAAAGATTTTATTTTTTTTCAAAGCAGTCTCCATGGGTTGCAAGCTTATAACGAGAACTTTTTTTTAAAAAAGTGATTTAAAAAATGCCCCCCTTATCATCAGAATAATGTATGTTTGAGCTGTGAAAAAGAAACTTCAATACACAAAAGCCACTGGAACTCAAAACAAAAAACAAGAAACCCACCTCAAACATGCACCTGTGTTAGTTAGTCAGAACAAGGTTTGAAAACGGCTCTTTACAATACCTAAAAATATCTTGGTGTTTCTCCTTTTTGGTAAAGTTCCACCAGATGCCCCTTTCACTTTCTGGAAAGAAAGAGAGAGAGAGAGAAAGGAGATGGAGAGAAAAAGAAGAAAGGTTAAAAGTCTAACTCACGTCGTCACTACAAGAAAAATAAAATACTCAGAAAAATAAAATAGGAAACTGGAATCAAATCAGTCTAGTGCAAAATCTGCATGGCAGTGAATCCTTTCCCACTTTGCACTGTTGTTGTAAAGGCAAATGTAAAGTGTTAATCATCATCAATCATAGCTGACAGTGCAGCCAAGGGTATTTATTTTCTATCAGGCTTTAACAGATAGTTAAGAAGAGGGGATTTCGGCAGCTGCAATTCCTCTTATCCTTGCCTGTCAAGCAACACCTGCTAACACTCTTTCTCCTATGCACCTGTTTAAAGGGTACCTGAGCTCTTTTCTCCTTTGCCTTCAAGTACCCTAGTCAACAATTAGCACCTTGAGTTGTTGATCAAAGCTCTGCCTCCAAGATTCATTCTGAGGAAGCCACGCAGCACATTAACCAGGGTTAACAGCAATTCCCTTTCACCATGAAATCATGGTAATTGTACTTCTAGGGCAGCCTTTCTCAACCTGTGGGTCCCCAGATGTTGTTGAACTACAACTCCCATCACCCCTAGCTAGCAAGGCCAGAGCTCAGGGCTGATGGGAGTTGTAGTCCAACAACATCTGGGGACCCACAGGTTGAGAACCGCTGTTCTAGGAGAAGTAAGGGTCCGCATGCCCTCCAATAGGCACGTCCTATTCAATAATAATAATAATAATAATAATAATAATAATAATAATAATACCCTGCCCACCGGACTGGGTTGCCCCAGCCACTCTGAGCAGCTTCCAACATATATAAAAATACAATGAAACATTAAGAAACCTCCTTATACAAGACTGTCTTCAAATGTCTTCTAAAAAGGTTGCATAGTTACTTATCTCATTGACTTGGAGGTCATATAACGCCATACCCTCCAACATTTCTCCAATTAAAACAGGGATGTCCTAAGGAAAAGCGGGTCATTCCAGGATCAAATCAGAAACTATGAGGGCTTCTGCAAATCCAGGACTGTCCCTGGAAAGGGAGGGTCTGGGTCTGTAACACAGAACACTGAACACTCTCACCGAACTGAAGTCAATGGGATGATTTGGGGGAAGCCAAGACAGACACACTGGTAAGGAAACAGATATATATTTGTAGTATTGGTATGGCCAACGTCACATCCCTAGATGCATAAGACTTGGGTGCCAAACCCCCGATCTACTGGGTCGAGTATTGCATCTCATTCTCTGTTACCCTAAATTCAAGCATTTTCATTTAAATCCTTCCAAAAGCTCAAAAGGATTGGAGTCTAAACCAATTTTTCGATGGACATTATGGCAACTGGTAGGTTTTCGAAAGAGGGCCATCCCAAAAATAAATAGAAAGCAAATAAAAAACCCTCGACCCCAAAACCCAAAGTCCATCATGCTTAGCAATGAAGATGTTCCAAGTTCTTATAACAACCAAATCATATGTACTGCTTCTCCAACCATTCCATTGCTACATCTGTCAGCTATCACACTACTCATTGTTAAAAGGGGGGGGGGACAAAGGAGGGGAAATTCTGCCAAAGTGTGAAAACATATCCAGAAAAATGGAGGCTCTGTACTGAGGTTCTGTTGCTATCCTGAGACAGCTACTTGAAGCAGTGAATTCTTGCGCACACCTTCAGTGTGTAATTTCCAGATCATTAGGTTTTTGTGTGTGTTTTTAATGGAACACTATTCCTAGAGATAGGGATGCGGGTGACGCTGCAGGTTAAACTACAGAGCCTAGGACTTGCCAATCAGAAGGTCGGCAGTTCGAATCCCCGTGACGGGGTGAGCTCCCGTTGCTCGGTCCCTGCTCCTGACAACCTAGCAGTTCTAAAGCACGTCAAAGTGCAAGTAGATAAATAGGTACCGCTCTGGCGGGAAGGTAAATGGCGTTTCCGTGCGCTGCTTTGGTTCGCCAGAAGCAGCTTAGTCATGCTGGCCACATGACCCGGAAGCTGTACGCCGGCTCCCTAGGCCAATAAAGCGAGATAAGAGCCGCAAACCCAGAGTCGGTCACGACTGGACCTAATGGTCAGGGGTCCCTTTACCCTTTACCTTATTCCTAGAGATATCATCCTTGCTATTTATCCCAGGATAAAAGGGGTAGGGCCCTCATCTATCGCTGACTCTCCTTCAACTTTCAGTTTTCCTCTTGAACATGTAAAACAAATGAGAGCTGCTGGACACGTCGCAAGCAAACAGAAATTCATGTGTTTGGTTAAATGCATGTGGACTTAAGATGAACACAGTTTGGTGCCTCTCCATTTCATGTGACTAAACTGAGGTTTTTTGGGTGCTAAGCGGTTGCTCTAACACTGATCCCCAAGCCACAGACAGCCCTTCTCACTTTAAGTCCACACACTTTCACCCTGAAAAGGTGAGCAGGGGCTCCTGTGCCAACCACATTTCCCCCCCCCCCTTAGTTGAAGTGAGGATAGGATGTTGGAAACTTGCTCAAAAGTCTCTATCAGTCTCCACTCCCAGGCAATTGTTTTCTGCCCCTTCGAAGATTGCAGAACAGATCTAGGGGTGCATTATTTTCTGTAAAGTGTGAAACAGCTCTCAAAGACTGATGCAGGTTCAGTAGGTGTCATCACCAAAGGATTTGTTGTTTAGTCGTTTAGTCGTGTCCGACTCTTCGTGACCCCATGGACCAGAGCACGCCAGGCACCTCTGTCCTCCACTACCTCCCGCAGTTTGGTCAAACTCATGCTGGTAGCTTCGAAAACACTATCCAACCATCTCGTCCTCTGTCGCCCCCTTCTCCTTGTGCCCTCCATCTTTTCCAACATCAGTGTCTTCTCCAGGGAGTCTTCTCTTCTCATGAGGTGGCCAAAGTACTGGAACCTCAGCTTCACGATCTGTCCTTCCAGTGAGCACTGGATATCACCAAAGGATAACCGAACACATAAGCAGGTGTTCTTTATACAAAAGGCGATACGCTGGGTCCAGAGAACAAGGCAAAGAGCGCAGGGCAAAAGGCCGCAGAGATCAATATCTGGAAGGCCAGGCGTATGCAACATCTCAAGTTTAAAAAACTCATCGTAAGGAAAACTGAAATCCCAGCAACAGTTTAGCGAGGCAGAGAGATGGATAGCCTCATTCTCCTAAGAAAGAATTGTAGTGTTGGAATGGGACCACAAGGGTCATCTAGTCCAACCCCCTTTCGATGCATAAATCTCCAACGTGGATCTCGAACCCACAACCCTGAGATTAAGTGTCTCTTGCTCTACCGACTGAGCCATCCCGCAGAGCAAAGTTGACAGCCGATTCATGTATTTTTAAAGTCAATTCAAACGGGTGATGGTCTAATCACAAAACAGTCTGCAAATTTAAAAAATACACCTGTTATTCCACACAGATATCTTCATTTCAAGGCCTGTTTGGGCAGACTGCAACCATGGCTCGTGAAACCAAGAGTAAGCATATTTGAAGGGGGGGGTAGAAACACAACTTTGATACCTCCAATAAATCCATATATTATCGTATTTATTGTGAGGAGTTAGTGGGGAGGTTCAGAGGTGGAACCTCCCTGGTACAGAGTGCAAACAGCTGTGTTTACGTGGTCAACTGGGCAGCAGAAGAATACACGGGCAATCGGAACAGGGTAACCAACTTTGACCTATCATTGCTGGGACAGCGGCTATGTCAGCCTCCATTGCCAGGGAGGGCTGAAGAGGTTACATGTCTTGTTGACATGTAAACAGTCTTTGAAGCCAAACTTACTGGTACATGTCTTCAGTGCATACCTTCACCCTGCTGGAAAGATTTCCCTGGGAGGTCAGTGCCAAACACTAAAGCAGCACCGTAAATATTTATCCATGAGACCGGTTGTTGCCCAACGCTCATTATGTGCACCAGAGTTACTACGATTTTCCTCCCAAACTACTTCCTCGCCTCCCCATGCATACCAGAACAAGCCTTTTAAAAATTAGGATCGGCAGCACCCACAGCACTGCTCCATGTTAAAAAATACAGTGCTATAGCTGCTGCTCTGAGAGTGCACTGTTTCTGGAAGAAGCAGGGCAGCAAACTGTTTCTCTAGAGGAGACCAAGCACAGTGCATATATTCTCTTCCTCCTGCCGTTAAAGTGATGCTTGGTCTTTTCAACTATAAGTCACCAGTCCATTTTTTAAAAAAAGAACCTGGAAGTGGACTCAAAACAGTGTTGCTGTAACAACAGAAGCAATTTTTATGATTGGTAGGCAGCAGTTGTAAGGGATAAGGATGTGCAGGGGCAATTACAACTCAGCAACGGGGAGCAGATGAGAGGACAAGTAGAAGACTTCATGGCAACCCGAAAAGGTTCTCGACGGCGCTTTGCAAGGGCGATTTGCCCCATCAGCTGAACTGCTAATGATAAATATGCCACATTAGCATAGCCTTCCCCATAACCACCCCGCGTAGTGCTTTACATTATCAGGGGCATTCAACCTCACAACTTAAAGTGGGGATGGGGAACCTGTAGCCCTCCATATGTTATTGGAATACGACCCCCAGCAACCAACTTTAGACCACCAGGGCCAGATTTAGGTTTGATGCTGCCCTAAGCTACTGAAGGTAATGGGGCCCTTCATATGTCCATCTGTCCGTTGTCAACAACAAATTGTCACTGTTTTTTGTGTTGAATATATGCTATAGTGGTACCTCGGGTTGCAGGCGCTTCAGGTTATGTATTTTCGGGTTGCACACCGTGCCAAACCCGGAAGTACCAGAATGGGTTACTTACTTCTGGGTTTCGGCACTCGTGCAGAAGCACTAAATCGCGCTTTGCGCATGTGCAGAAATGCCGAATCGCGACCCGCGCATGCGCAGAAGCAGCACTGTGGGTTGCGAACGCTGCAGGTTGCGAACGTGCCTCCTGCACGGATCATGTTCGCAACCCGAGGTTCCACTGTATATGGTAATTTATGGACCTAACATGTATCTAAAGCCACTTGCACATAACAAAATACGCATTTTATCAAAGTAATTGTTGAACTTGTCTTATATTTTGGAAATGTACATCAAGTTTTCTGTCCTTTAAATTTTTTGGGTGGCCCCAAGAGAGTGGGGCCCTAAGCTATAGCTTGTTTAGCTTATACATAAATCCGGCACTGCCACTGAGAGGGTGGAGACTACAGCCCTCGTGTTCTGCTTGTGGGACTTCCTGCAAGGATCTGGTTGGGAGAAACAGAATGTTGCACTAAGACAGACTTCTTTTCTGACCCAGGAGAGTTCTCAACAACCAACGCCCATTGGGCCATTATGCAAAAGCCGCCAAAAGCTTCCCAGCAAACCAATTGCGTATGCGCATTGCTTACACAAGGTACTGTCTACAGCTGGGAGTCTCCAAATATGCCTGCCTGAACTACAAAGCACAAGCCCTAATACCAATCTTCAATTATTATTTTCAGGCTAGCTGTTTTAATTCTCAAATAGAAGGAAATAGCTTTCGACAGAGCCTTCAGATGCGTGGCCCCAACAGCACCTACCTCTTTCATGTGCCGCTTCAAATGCATGTACACACACTGACCCGTCTTCCGGTAGTGCCTTTCCACATGTTCTCTTCCGAATCCCAGAAAGGTGTTCATGCACACATAGAGGCCTCCTTCGGAATCCTGAAGAGGAGAAGAGAGAAAGAGAGCGGTTACATCATGAAAGAAACCTGATTGGATCCTTCGGCATGAAGGTAAGAGCCCCTACTGGATTAGACCAAAGGCCTGCATAGTCCAAAGAAGTGTTTTCACAGTGGCCCACCAGAGGCCTATAGGAAACATGCACGTACGACCAGAGCATAACAGCACTCTCCCCTTCTGTACCAGCTCCACCTGGTATGCAGGCTGAGACCCTACCTGCCCACGGACTGCCTCGCCAGAGTGGTGCATGCTCTGGTTATCTCCCGCTTGGACTACTGCAACGCGCTCTACGTGGGGCTACCTTTGAAGGTGACCCAGAAACTGCAATTAATCCAGAATGCGGCAGCTAGACTGGCGACTGGGAGCGGCCGCCGGGACCACATAACACCGGTCCTGAGAGATCTGCATTGGCTCCCAGTATGTTTCCGAGCACAATTTAAAGTGTTGGTGCTGACCTTTAAAGCCCTAAACGGCCTCGGCCCAGTATACCTGAAGGAGCGTCTCCACCCCCATCATTCAGCCCGGACACTGAGATCCAGCGCCAAGGGCCTTCTGGCGGTTCTCTCATTGCGAGAAGTGAGGTTACAAGGAACCAGGCAGAGGGCCTTCTCGGTGGTGGCGCCCTCCCTGTGGAACGCCCTCCCACCAGATGTGAAGGAAATAAGCAGCTATCTTCTCTTTTAAAGACATCTGAAGGCAGCCCTGTTCAGGGAACTTTTCAATATTTAATGCTGTACTGTTTTTAACACTTGATTGGGAGCCACCCAGAGTGGCTGGGGAAACTCAGCCAGATGGGTGGGGTATAAATAATAAATTATTATTATTATTATTATTATTATTATTATTATTCAGTTTCCAGCAAGCAGCTTCGGAGGAAGAACACAGCCGTCATGGTTCGTGGTCATTAGTAGCCTCATCCTCCGTGAATTTGCCCTGTGCTCTTTAAAAGTCATCTAAGTTGGTGGCCATCATTGCATCTTATGGGATTGAGTTCCATAGATTAACCATGTGTCGCATGAAGAAGTAATTTCCTTGCCTGTCCTAATTCTCCCAATATTCAGCTTCATTGGAGGTCCTCGAGTTCTAGTGTTAAGAATGAGGTATCTAACTGTTGGAGATGCAGTAGGGATAATGCTTCTCTAAAATGTATGGGGTTTTTTAACTGTCCTATATTGAAAGATTTTTGGCGGAACGTAACTGAAAACTATCAACAGAACTTTACGGAACAACCTTACATTTACAGAGCAAGATATCCTCTTGAATTATATACCCAGCACATGGAACCTTACGAAAGGAGAATACAAGTCACCTTCAAAGGTAGCCCCAATACAGTGGTGCCCCGTAAGACGAATGCCTCGCAAGACGAAAAACCCGCTAGACGAAAGGGTTTTCCGTTTTTGAGTTGCTTCGCAAGACGATTTTCCCTATGGGCTTGCTTCGCAAGACGAAAACGTCTTGCGAGTCTTGCGATTTTTCCCCACTTCCCCCCCCTTTTCTAAGCCACTAAGCCACTAATAGCCTTTTAGCCGCTAAGCTGCTAAGCCTTTAATAGCTGCTAAGCCGCTAAACCGCTAATAGCGCTAAGCCGCTAATAGGGTTGCTTCGCAAGACGAAAAAACCGCTAGACGAAGAGACTTGCGGAACGGATTATTTTCGTCTTGCGAGGCACCACTGTATTCCAATAAATCAGTGTGGGTAAGAACGTCCCTAAATGATCTAGTCTGCCTTTTGCCTAAAATTGGTAAATTTTCACAACCTGGAATGTGTGAGATGATATGCCACAATGTTGTTTAATAACTCTTGCAATAGAGGAGGATAAACAATTATACTCTATAGAACCGAAAATCCTGTTCTGTTCATTCTTGGGTTTCGATACCAACAAACCCTGTCTGTAAATTATTTTAGCCCTATCAAGGGCTGTTTGAATTATAGTCTGTAGATAGCCTCTATTTCTTAATGAAGAGGAAAGAGATGAAACATTTTAAAAATTTTAATTTTTTAAAAAATCGGATTCAAGTGATGCATTTCTTTTCAATCTAATAAATTGACTGAACGGGAACCTTATATCCAAAGGGTTTGAATACTGAATTCCATCTGGGATGCTATGTATGAGTTAATATGTATACTGTTGTTTGGTTGTAACAGAAAAGTGATGCTGTGCCTTTAACCGTGTAATCATGTGATGGTTAATTCTATACACCTGTACTGTATTTAACTGCTTGTTATGAATCTGAACACTAGCTGTGCCTGTGAATACCTTCTTTATCCTGAGCAAACTGTTTTGTATGATTGGGTAAGGTATAGTATGAGACTGATATTTTCTAATTTTTATGGTTTACCACACATTGTAATTGGAGTGCTGTTTTGTATCACGCAGCTTTTCGGACTGATGAAGCGTGTAGCGAAACCTGTAATATATCCGGAGAACAGGTCTCCTTTTGCTCACTTGCGTTATTCTCACCAGGCTGGTGGCTTTGATTTGCCTTCCCGTGATCGATCCATGTACACGGCTTTGTGTTTCCAACTCAAGACCCATTGAAGAACATCTCTTCCAGTTCAATCTTTGAAAAACAGCTTTGAATTTTTTTTCATATTCTCCAGTGTGCTACCCTTGCCGTTGTGGCAGCACGGGGTTGCCGTTCCGTGATTGGACTGACGCTACTTGTTGAACGATTCATTTATCCAGTCTGTATAATGTTTACTGTACATGTAACTTGTTAAGATAGGAGTTGTAAATTTATCAACTCTATGTTTACAGTATCTCCAGGCTTCGTCTTGCACATGGCACCTTAGTATGTTTGTTGTTTGAATGGTTATAAGTCTATCTCTATTCTAGCTATTATTCTAGTAAATTTGGTTTTATACTTATAAGCCAGTTTGTGGTGCTGTTGTTTTGTTGTGTTATATGTTTGCCCCCAAAAGCAACCTAGGTGCCGTGTTCCACACCACCTGCAGAAACATCTCTTAAAAGATGGGTTTCTTGACAGCAAGACCTCCCTGTCATTTTATTAATGGGGGGAAAGGAAAAGAATGCCTCAAGAAACAGGTATTCGAGGAGGGCGAGTCAGAGAAGCAGCAATTAGTTTGGAATAGTTACTCTTAAGCAGAAAGCATCTGGAGATGCAAGATTATGTAGGACAGTGGATTTGCTGCAAAGTAAGAATGTTGAGCTGTGCTCTCCCATTTTTGCTCAACTTTTATTTTTGAAAATAAACTCAAATATTGTGGAAAATTTATAGCTATATAGGGATCTCACTTTCCAAGGGAAACCAAAGCCAGGTAGGAACCAGGTCTCCTTACCATTCAGGGAAATGGGATGGGTATAACAATATGAAGGCCAGGCTAGTAAAAGGTTTTATATGGGGTTCCCCCCCCCCTTGAAGACTATTTGTCAGCCTGTTTGACACATTCATGCACATTAAATGCCTCTATGGCATTACATAATAGTCTATTTTCTTCCATCAAAAACCAATGGGTTCCATGGATGGGTCCAAGCCTACTATCAAAGGCTTGCTGGGGTAGCCAAGTCATGCAAGCATCTTAGTGAATCTTGCATGAAAGCAACACACCGCTCATTCAAGCCAGCCAAAACGCAACAGGAGCCAACATTTTAAGGTTCATCAGTTTGATGCCTATGTAATCATTGGTACGGCTCTAAGATGGAACATCTAATCTTTGAGGAAACACCATGGCCAGAGAAATCAGTCAGAAACTACAGTGCAATTGCTGCTATTAAAATATGGTTGCAAAATTAAAGCAGATCAGGCAATTGAAGCAACTGGAATTTGCTCTGACAGGGCTGTAAAAAAAGAGACTTCCTTGAATTTGCAAAAAACGTATGAGCAAAATCTGTAGAAGGTACAGAGAGCCAAACTGCATCAAGTCCAAGTTCTATAGATTTGTCAAGCAAATGACCCTTTCCATGATTCCGAAAAAAAAGTTTGAGGACAAAAGAGTCAAAGTGCATAACATGGACTGCATGTGCAACATTGGAAAAGGAAGGACATGTGAGTGAGGTCCATGTGAAATTAACATAGGAAGTCACATTATACCGAGTCAAACCATATTCTCTATACAGTCACACCTTAGATCCTGAACGCCTCACGAGTCAAACATTTCGGCTCCCGGACTCCGCAAACCTGGACGTCAGTGTTCCGGCTTGCAAACGTTTTTTGGAACCCGAATGTCTGATGTGGCTTCTGCAACTTCCAACTGGCTGCAGGAGCTTCCTGCAGGCAATTGGAAGCCGTGCTTTGGTTTCTGAACGTTTTGGAAGTCAAATGGACTTCTGGAACGGATTCCGTTCAACTTTCAAAGTACCACTGTACTGATTCCCAGCCCTAACCTGGAGATGCTTCCAGTACGTTTCCGAGCACAAATCAAAGTGCTGACCTTCAAAGCCCTAAACGGCCTCGGCCCATTATGAAGGAGTGTCTCCAACCCCGTTCTGGTGGTTCCCTCATTGTGAGAAGTGAAGCTACAGGGAACCAGGCTGAGGGCCTTCTTGGTGGTGGTGCCCCATCAGATGTCAAGGCAATAACTATACAACCTTTAGAAGACAGCCCTGTTTAGGGAAGTTTTTAATGTTTGATGTTTTATTGTGTTTTTACTATTCTGCTAGGAGGCGCCTAAAGTGGCTGGGAAACCCAACCAGATGTGCGGAGTATAAATAATAAAATTGTTGTTGTTGTTGTTGTTACTATTATTATGATGCTGGGGGTTGAAATTGGGACCTTTTGCATGCAAAGCAGATGCTCTACCGCTGAGCTAAAGCCCAATTCCCCTAGTCCTAAGCAATCTGTTCCTCAGAAACATCCAAGAGCTCAAAATGGCATCATCTATAAGTAACAGCCCTCAAGAAGGCTGGTGGAAGGTCCGGCCACACTTGGAACACCGTGTGGAGCTCTGGCTTCCGTACGTTGCCTGGTCTTTCCATTACAAGATTGCAATCACAAAGTATTTCAGCCCTGCAGATATTGATC